GGTAGACTAATGCACAATGTGAACATTAAGTCTTCAGGACCCTGAGACCTGAACTAGATGGTGCCCATCTCCCACTACCAACTGCTCTGCAAGGATCACATTAGAAGGTCCAGGACTGAGTAGGAGAAAATGTGGAACAAAGATAAAAATTATGTATTAAAAAAATCAGATTAACTTGTCAGCTAGACTAATGGAACCCTGATTGTAGACCTTCACCCATCAGGTCTGGAACGGAACCTCACGTCATGGCTCAATTTTCAGCCAAGCAGTAGTTAGGAATATATAGGGGGGACACCAGCATTACCAAGGCAAGCTCACCATAGGTTGGGCAACCATTCGCGATCCAAAAAGCAGTCTTTATTCAGAAGGGTTGGGAAAGAAGGCGGAATGGACACAAGAAACACAGGGAGGTAGGAGGTTAAGTGATGTTATATTGAGAGGATTGCAGTCATTGAAATGAAATGAAATGGGTTGAATAATCTGCTTTGTAAACCTTCACTCAATTCACAATAAAATGTTTTGTTTTTTTTTTTTAATCTTTCTGCTCCCTACTGTCTTTATGATAAAATACCTGTGGTTCTTTCTGTTTGAAAGAACCAAAGTTCTTGCCTACATAAGGAACAAAATGACAGTAATAGCTGAAGCGGCCAATACTCAATGAAACTCTCTCTTTCATTAGCAGGATTGATATTTAGGACCCAACAAATGGTAGTTTTGTTACTGTCTCTGTCCTAGTCTAAATGGTCCTTTTGAGTTTATTTTACAATATACACAGGCAACAAATCAACTTATTGGTGATGGTGGCAGTATTCATTCATTAATCATATGAATTTTCAGGTGCGGGCATAAAGAGTTCACATGCAGTATTATTCAGTTCTTGAAACAACTCTCCTAATCATTTATAATTGAGTAAACTGAGGCTCGGAGACATTAAGTAACTTGTCCCCAATGTCACATAGTTATGTAAGGATGAAGGCCAGATTGAAACCTGGGTCTGTGGATTCTAAACCTGGTGTGCTGAACCAGAAAACAACTGCTTTATGGAAGATTTTTAGGGGTCCCTGAGTGACTAGTGAAGGACTCAGCAGCTAACCAGAAGGTTGTTGGCTGGAATCCATTTAGAATCATTACCCGTGCCTCCCTCCCCTCCACCCCCAGAAGAAAGGCATGGCGATTTACTTCTGAAACATCACAGCCATTTATATCCCACATAGCTTAGTGCGGCGCTGTAGGGTAAGCACTGGACTATAAGGTCGGTTTGAACTGCATGGTTGTTGGTTCAAACGCCCCAGCCACTCTTCGGAAACCCTGTTTAAAGTGACTGAATGGAACCAACTGGACGACAGTTTTCAACAACAATAAAGATTAGTTCATTTAGTTCTCTGCTTATAAAAGGATGGATCATAAACAGGATGCTAGTTGTGACCTAAAGATGTGTATGTTGTTGTTGGGTATAGTTTGGTTTTTAAACCCTATTTGACTTTGAGGCTTCCTCTTTTGAAATAGGTTTTTTAAACATATTTGACTTTTAAAGGTAATGACTCCTGTTAGCTGAATGCCCTGGGTTCCCCCAAGGTGCTTCATATACATACCCAGTGCCCTTTTTCTTGTTGTTAAAAGACATCGAGACAGTTTCAACTCAAAGCAACCCTCAATAGGGTTTCCTCCAGGCAGCTGGTGAGTTTGAATGTTGACCTTGTGGTTCAAGCTGACCTTGCAGTCAGTCCACATTGTCACACCAGTGTCCTGTTGTTGTTGTTGTTGTTAAGTGCTGTCTAGTTGATTCCTCCTCATAGCGACCCTGTATAGGTCTTCTGAGGAGCAATTTGTGGGATTAAACTTCAACCTAGTGGTTCACAGTCCAGTGCTGATTCGACAGTGTCACACCAGAAATCCTACAGGCCCATAAATACACTTGAGCTTATGACTGGTCTAAAAGGCCAAGAACAGGTAGTTCACTCTTTTCTTGAGTGTGCTTAGAACTGAGGAGTCCACATCAGTTAGGATGTTCTCTAACCTTATCAACATTTTAACAATATTCAAAGCTTGCTTTTAGTTTTAATCTTTCTTCTCTTACTTACCTTGTCAACATTGAGAACAATGGCTTAAAAGATTGTTGCTTTCCATAAATAGTTACTAAATACTGTTCTTGCTTTTTGTCTTTAACAATCCCCCCACTTCATCCAATCTTCCCTTTGACATCTCAGATGGCTGACAGCTAGTTAGTGTCTCTGAATGGCAGATTGGTGCCTTTGCCACATGGGAGTGTCATTACCCAGTAAAATTAATACCTCCGTCTTGAATTTATTTAGCATCTTTCTTCTGTGGAATGCACAAAAAAAAGCAAGATGCCTTCCATTCCCTTGGGATGGATGAGTATTAGCTGATTAGTAGACCAGAAGACTACATTTGACTGCCCTCAGTAAACAAGCTTTGCATTTAGGCACCTAGGTGCTTTTGGAATGCTTTCTTGCCTTTATATTCAAAGTTGGTTTGAGAGCTTTTACACTAGTCAAGTTTGAAAGTTCCATGTCATTTCCACTTTTCTTGTTGCTTTGAAAAAGAGAGAGAGGATTGAAAAGCAGCTACTAATGCTGGATATTTCTTTTTCAGATGCAAAAGAAATTGTTTTAAAAGCCCAGATCTTAGCTGGAGGAAGAGGAAAAGGTGTCTTCAATAGTGGGTTGAAAGGAGGCGTTCATTTAACAAAAGAGTAAGTCTGGAGGTTTTAATTCCTTTTCTTTGGGCCTAGGAATCATAGAAGATCTTGTTCGTGATTGAAAGGGGACATTAAGCAGGAGGTATGGAGTGGAGGCAGCGAGCAGAGGAAACAGAAATTATAGCTAGCGGGCTCGGGCGATGCCTATTTTTTTCTTCTCTCACTAAAGGATTTTTCTTGCCTAATTTGTGACAACTCAACACTCCTCCTTTCCTAAATAACCAGTGATTCGTAATTAATGTTGTGGATGATACAATTTACAAATTAACTGCTGCTTCCTCATTGTCACTGTCTTATTCAAGAACTTGCTGTGGCTCCCCAGTACCAGTGGCATTAGGTTTGTCTCCAATCTAATAGTCCAAGCCTTCCATTATATAAGCCTCCTTGTCAATTTTATCTTTCTTGCCTCTAAATACCAACCATTTACTTTCCTCTGTGCTCCTGCCACTCGACTTTCCGTATTATTTAATTTGATACCAACCCAAATTGCCCACTCTCTATAATGTTTGCATCATAATCAATTTTTTTCATCTCTTATCTACATCTGTTATGCATTTCAGCACTCTATTTATTATGATTGTAATTTATTTGGAGAAAAAAAATAGCAAAGGTAAGCATCTACGTTTCATTGATTTGTTCTTTTCATTCATTCTTTCCTCACCCTATCCTTCTGTTAAACTCTACTACAATATTGGGCGCATAGTGTATAAGCAGAAAGACCCATCGAGTAAGTGATGATGGAGGTGGAGCCAGTGTAGTATAGAAATGGGTATACACAGCCCCCCCCCCCCCCGTTAAAATGATTTTGAATATGGGAGTAAATGTTCTTTTCTCTTTTTCTTCCTCTGTAGCCCTAACGTTGTGGGACAGCTGGCTAAACAGATGATTGGATATAATCTATCCACAAAGCAAACATCTAAAAATGGTGTGAAAGTTCACAAGGTAATATGAGTTTTGGTAATGTTCTTTAGAAAATAGTCATGTGTTTGAAAAAAGACAACGAAAATAATAGAAAAGAAAATCATGCTTCGGTTTGGACAGCCTCTAATGAATCAGGGCTCTTTGACAACATGCCATTTGGTTTCTCCAGTCTCACATTTCCTGTTTAGTAATTGGTGTGACTTTGAGGAAGAATAAACAGAGCTCTGCAATAGCAAATTTCTCATTTCTCATTTGCAATTAGCAGTAGTGGGTGGGAGGGAATGACCAGAGCAGTAAACATCCCCATGCAGAACACAGACAAGTTCTGTTTAAAGTTGAAAGGATCTCGGTGTCAAACTGTAGTCTTATCCCCAGTGGGGGCCATCTTCTAGCCCCAGCCCCTGTATTAGATCACTTCTAAGTACGCCTGTGCCTTTCATTGCGATTGCTGCTATTGTGAGCACTGTTCTTACTGGGAGTATGTTGAATTAGTCTGCTAAAGTATCCATGTATGTACCTTTCTCACACATAAACACACACAGTGCTCACACACACAGGAAATACACCCAGGAAAGCAGAGTGACCTTCAGTCCTGTGTCATGACAGAGCTCTCCCTCCTGACAGTCCATTTCGTTTTTACCAGACCACCCTCATGTTCTGAGGGCCACCTATAGGACTTGCAGGGTCCACTGAAAAATAAAACTACGGGAACCCTTTGTCAGATGTCTAGGTAGCAGCAGCAGAGCCATAAACCGAGAAGAGACCCTTCTGAGCGTGGGGCCTTGTATAATCACTCACAAAGGGCCTAGGCCCCGGCAAGTGCAGGGTAACAGTGAATTAGGGCCACAATGTGGGAGGCAGTTGTCCATTCTGATCATACAGTATCATGGACCAACCTCTCCTAGTGTGCGGAGCTTGGGCATCTGGAATTAGTATATTCTGTTTTTACTTCTCAGAGACTGTTTTGTGGCAAGTTCCTGACCTACAAGTCATCAGCTGATTATTACTGTACTTACTATGAGAAGGTCTGTACAGGCCCAGAAAAGGACCCTGAGCTGCAGGAAGATTGGAATACTGCCGGATCATTAGCTCTATCACTCCAAGAACACAAAGACTTTCTAAATGTTAAGGGAGCAAACAAACAAAAGCACTCATGGTTATTTACCATCCCCACTGCCCAAGGTGGCTTCAAGAACTGTCCAGAACAAACAAGGGTTTCCTATTGTTGCCTTCGTTTTGGTTGGCTTGGCCCTTTACTCGCTCTGAGCCATAGTCTTAGGGACCACAGTTTGACACTGAAGCACACAGGTTGCCATAAGGCGGAGTGGGCTCAGTCGGAACTGGTGATGGTGGTGCTAACATTTAGTATTTACCTTGCAGCTTGGGAGGAACAAACAAACAAAAGAAACCCACTGCCATTGAGTTGATTCTGAGTGTTGTTGTTGTTAAGTGTGGTCAGTCCATTCCAATTCATAGCTGCTTAACTATAGGGTTTCCAAGGAACAGTCGATGGGTCTGAACTGCTGACTTTCTGGTCAGCAGTCCAATGTTTACTACAGTGCCATAACCCAATATAGGGTTTCTGAGGCCAGAAATCTTTATGGAATAGACAGCACTGTCTTTCTCCTGCAGAGCTGCAGTGAGTTTAAACTGTCAAACCTGCAGATAATAGCCCGAATCCAAAGTGCCACTAGGCTCCTTTCCAGGTTTGGAGAGTAAGGATAAACTTTTTGTTTTGTTTTGTTTTTTCTTTTAAATGTTTTATTGTGAATTATGTGATAGTTTACATTGGAGAACATTCGTTTTACATTCATCTTATTGTATAACATTTCATTGCCATGGTTATAATCCCCTCCATGCATCATCAACCAAACAAAGGGTAGTACACCCTACAAGCCTGCCCCCCCGGTCGTCAGCACACAGCCCCTCTCCCTCTCTGGGTCTAAAGTCCCCAGCTGCTTCATTTCTCCATATCATTGTCTCTGCCTCCATCTCAGGCATCACTGCCTCTCTGGGTGGGGTCCTGCTCTCCACTCTTCTCCTTGATGGTTCCAGGGACCTCCACTCCTAGACTGCAAAGTCATTCACTCGCCTCCATTCTACAGAACGTCTACCTTTACATTTTCACAATCAGTCCTGATAACAATTATTCAATATTGTATCACAAGAGACCTATCCACATTCCTTTCATCAGCCCCGACTAGACAGATTGAATACTACTCACTGGAGATTTTACCTTCCTCCATGCCCTATGGATCTAGGTTCCCTCTTGAAAGCTTGTAAGCCAGTCGATTCTTGCCTTTGTAGCCCCCTCCCCCCATTTTGGATAGCCAGTGTCTAAGTTGCCCATCGCTGTCTACTCTGTGTGGAGGGGGTGGGAATGATCCTTGCTGTAAAGATTTGTCCCCTCTTTTGAGCTACTGCATCCATAGATGTAGGTCAAGTTCATCAAATAGTTGCGGATTACTTTTTTTTTCCTCTTCTTTTTCCTTGTAGTTGAGCTCTGATTATCCAGTCACTGAAGCCAGGTCAAGTGGGTATTATCTGCAAGTGTGGGAGTTCTTGTGCATATGCCCTCTCTTCTTATCAGCTGGATGCTTCACTCTCCACTCTAGTCCTCTGTGTCTATGTCACTCACTCTGGGCCCAAGAGTCCCCAGGTCTTGCCACACTGCTGGCCAACCAGGTCTTCACCCAGGTTCACAGGAGTCTATTGAACATTGTAGGGCTTAGCTCACAGATTCATTGCTGTTTTTTCCTCACTTCCCCTTATTGGTGACGAACGTGGTCACCAATCAGAGCATGTATTCCCATTGAGTCTTAGTCTTGGAAGGGGGTTTGCTCTGAGGGGACCCGACCACTTGCCTTGATGTCTCCTGGGTAAGCAACTTGCTTGTTCTTGTAGTAACAGTCGGTCTGCCTATGTTGTTTTGTATTTTTCCTGTAGGTCTTTCTTTAAAGGAAATATCTTGTGTTCTTCTAGCCACTCGAGGCTAGTCTGCCCGTCCTTCCAAGTGGAAATTTCCCACCTCAGAAGATTCTGGATGCTCTTCAGGATTTCACATATAGTTTTATGTAATGCAGATTCTCCTTAGGAAGCCTCCTTCATTGGGCACGTTGTAGCCCCATTTTAGTTATTCCAATCAGTTATGGTTAGAAGAAGGACTTACAAGCTTTCTATGGTGATATTTCTGGCTAGTCCATTCTCTCCCCCTCAAGTATCTATTTTATAATGGTATGCAAGGGAAATCAAGATTCAAAAGACAGCCAAGCATCTTAACATTATTTCACCCCTGTTCCCCATTATAACCATGTATGAATCCCTGTATCCCAGAGCCCTGTGGTTCCAAGGTTGTGCATACATCATTATTTACCTCTGTGCCACTTAGCCCATGCAACCCTGCCTAATTGTTCTCCCATCCGCTTTGTTCTTCCGTTTCCCTCCAGCACCCAAACTATCCTGTGTCTATTCACTGCCCTGTGTTCCACCTTCCCCTCCCTCCCCTAACCCCGCCCCCCACATCTGAGCGGCTAGTAAAGAATTCCACCCCCCTTTAGTATGGATTCATTTTCTTAGTCTTTTACAGTAGTGGTCCTATGCAGTATTTCTCCTTTTGTGAATAACGATTTCACTCAACATAATGTCCTCAAGGGTCATCCATGCTATGCGGTGGCTTGCGGCTTCCTTGTTGTTCTTCAAGGTAGCATAATATTCCATTGTATTTATGTACCACAGTGTGTTTATCCATTCTGAAGATAAACTTTTAATGATATTTAGGGCTTGTGCATTTGAGAAGTTGCAAGAATTTGATTATATCCTCAGGAAATATTTATTTGGGTTTCTTTTATAGCCCAAGCATGTGTTCTGGAATATAGTAATGACGTTCTCAGGTAAAAATTACTACCTTTTTTCTATTTAGTATTGTGTTTAATGGTATTCCACCATTTGATAACCCATGTGTAACTCCTGGTGTGAAATGCTGAGCGTGTTCTTCCCTTTTAGTTTTCTGACTCCAGATCTTTGCATATTTTGTTGTAATATTTGACTTTGTCTTCTCGAGCTGACCTTTGAAATTTTCTGTTGAGCTGTAGTATCTCCTCATTTTTCCCATTTGCTTTAGCATCTCTGTGCTGGAGAGTAAGTTTCATTGTCTCTTCTGACATCCATTTTGATCTTTTCTGTCTTCCTTGTTTTCTTAATGACTTCTTGCTTTCTTCCTGTATGATGTTCTTGATGTCATTCCACAACTCTTCTGGTCTTCGGTCTTTAGTGTTTAATGTAGCAAATCTTTTGTTCAGATGTTGTCTAAATTCAGGTGGGATATATTCAAGGTCATATTTTGGCTCTCATGGACTTGTTTTCATTTTCATTAGCCATTTTGTTGGTGTTAAGTACGATGCCGTCGGTCCAACACATAGAGACCCTGCACAAGGTCTGTACGTGTTTACATGAGCAGAAAACCACATCTTTCTCCCATGGATTGGCTAATAGTTTCGAACTGCTGACCTTGAGGTTACAGCCCAATTCATAACCATGATACTACCAGAGCTCCTTAGAAAGATGCAAATCAAAACAGCAATGACATGTCATTTCACACCAGCCATCTCAGTGAAGTTCAAAAATGAGAGGACAATAAATGCTGGTTAAGATATGGAGAGACTGCGACCGTCCTCCATTGCTGGTGGGAATGCAAAATGGTTCAATGACTCTGGAAAATCGTATGGTACTTCCTCAGTAAGCTGGAAATAGAAATACTATATGATCCAGCAATTCCACTACTTGATATATATCCAGAAGAAATACGAGCCACAATACGAGCAGCTGTATGCACGTCAATGTTCTTAGCAGTACTATGTACAATAGCCAAAAGATGGAGACAGCTGAAATGCCCATAAAGAGAAGAATAGATAAACTTGAGTACATAAACACAGTGGAATATTATGCTATCTTAAAGAATAAAAAGGAAGTCATAAGCCACCACATAACATGGATGAACCTTGAAGACATTATGCTAAGTAAAA